TTACCTTTCAGGTGTTGAAGTCATCTTTGCGGATTCAGAGACTTTTAGAGAAACAAATTTTGATGGAAATGGCAGATTTAAGTGGGTCGATGCAGCTAGCAGGAAAGCGAAAGTCACCACCTGAGACTATTCTCAGTGGTTCTGTATCAGAGGCACCAAACAAGCAGTGTAGACCATGGTTACAGCAATTGTCTCCTGCAAGCAATGGGATTCTGCATATTCCAACCAATATGCTTTCTCGGAAGACACTACATTCGCTGATGCAGGGCAAGATAGCGACGCAAACGGAATCTGCTCTCCAGCAGTCTGGGAAGCATGTGGTAAACAAGAAACAGAATATCCCACCTCGAGGGTCGACGAAAACGAATGATGAATTAAATGAGTCTGTCAGGTCTAAAATGAGGGAGTCATTGGCAGCTGCGTTGGCCTTGGTTCAGAGACATGATGAATTTCCCAAAGGGAAAGAAAATTTGGAGACTGAAGAAACTCGTGCAATGAATCTGGAGAATACTCAAAGTTTTCAACCTGCCTCACATGATGGCGTCAGTGTCCCTGGAGGCGAAGGAACCATGTCACAATTGGCCACCGGTGTTGAAAGTTCTGTGCAGAAGGACAGTGAGATTTCCATCGACACCATGATGGAAGATGTTATTCAATCTGATGGACTGAAGTCTCAGTATGACGAGGTTTTTCCTCGGGATGATGTTCCTTTTTCAGATATTATTTTTCCCAATGATGACCTTTTACAAGGTAATGAACTCTCATGGGTTCTGGGACATGTTTCAGATTTTGAAGAGACAAAGGAGTACGAAACCAAATGTGAAAAGTCAGTTCAGGATCCGGAAGTCTTGGCATCTAAAATTGAAATGGAATTGTTTAAGCTTTTTGGAGGTGTAAACAAAAAGTACAAAGAGAGAGGAAGGTCCCTCTTATTCAATTTGAAGGATAAGAATAATCCTGAGCTAAGAGAAAGAGTTATGTCTGAAGAGATCTCGGCTGAGAGGTTGTGTTCTATGACAGCTGAAGAACTGGCTTCTAAGGAGCTTTCTGAGTGGCGACAAGCCAAAGCTGAAAAGATGGCTGAGATGGTTGTTCTGAGGGATACAGATATTGATGTTAGACGTCTGGTGAGGAAAACGCACAAGGGGGAATTCCAGGTTGAAATTGAACCTGTTGACAATGGCATGGTAGATGTCTCTGCTGGCATAACGTCACGTAGCAGACGTCGACCCAAATCCAAATCTAATTCTGCCAAAACCACTCTCAAAGATAATCCAGCAGAAGCTGATCAAACAACATCACGTGATACTCCTCCCTCAACTGAAGAGATCGATCCCATGCAAGGTTTAGCGATGGATGATGAGTTGAAGGACGTGGAGTTTCTTCCTCCAATTGTATCGCTTGATGAATTTATGGAATCCCTGGACTCTGAGCCTCCATTTGAAAGTCCGCATGGTAATTCTGAAATGCAGGGTTCTGCGTCTGAGAAAAGTGACTCCGAAGTTGGGCCACTCTCAAATTCTCCTAAAGAATCTCCTAAGGAACTAAGCGAAAAAGGTTCTCCTCAACAAACACCGGAGAAGATTGATGAAGTTTCCCCAAAAGCTGATGCCAGTCCCAAGCTTGATGATGATGTCTCTAAACTTGAGAAAGTATCCTCCCTTGCTGATGTTAAGGGAGAAAGAGTATGGGATGGAATACTGCAACTGAGTATGTCTTCCGTTGTCCCGGTCACTGGCATTTGCAAAAGGTAAGTTCTTATCACCTAAACTATTGTTTCACTATTATTTGGTTTCTGCGATATTCTTTTTGTTGTGCATAGCCAATTTCTTCTCTATGCTGATACAATTATTAAAACTGTTGCTTGAATTGGAATTTGTTACCAACTAACCTCTTTTCTGATTCAACTAGATTGCTATTTGAATAAGCATAAGACTAGGTTCTTTGCTAGTTAACTGAAAAAGAGCTCATTGTGAGATATTAATAAAGTAACTGCGCATGCCACATCCGTAAGTTAGACAGTGCCTAGGATCAGTATAAATAGGACATGCATGAGGAAGTACCTTGAGTGTTATTCTTTGAAAATATACGACATTTGATTTCTGAATGTTACGTGCTTGTAACAACAATATCTCTGCTGATGTTTGTTTTCATTTGGTTTTACCAAAAAAAAAATTGAAAGTGAGAAAGAAAGTATGCATTCTCTGACTGGGTTTCTGTATGACAGTGGTGAGAAAGCAGAGACGAGCGAATGGCCGGCGATGGTGGAAGTGAAGGGTAGAGTTAGGCTGAGTGGGTTTGGGAAGTTTATTCAAGAGCTTCCCAAATCACGATCCCGTGCCGTAATGGTATATAAAGCTTTCTTTTGTTATCACTGTAGTAGCATTATATTCAATTATATCTTTGCTTCAAACAATTATAGAAGTAAAACCTTTTACTTCTTATACATATATGTTCCCTTCACTCTCACTTTGTCTCATCTCAAAAACTCTTCTGTCTTCTCTTCATGGAAACCAGAAAGCCAAAGAGATTACAAACAAACTCTTCACATGTTTATGCCTCACAGGAATGCGACACGTTTTGAGAAGAGAACCAGCTATAGATTGGGTCTAATTTTGTATATTAATTCATCAAAAAAGGATGCTAAATGTGATTTTTTTTTTTGTCTCTATGTGAGACTGTGAGTACTGTGTCTGTGTTGGGGATAGAATAATCAGACAAGAATCTTTCGATCCCAGACGCAAAAACATAGTCAATTAAATTTCCAAAAAAAAAAGTTGACTTTTTCCATCTCAAACCCAACTCACAACCATACATACATGAAACAAAAAAACCTAAAGTTAGATTTACTTTTTTTTTTTGGGTTAAATTATTTGTTTTACTTTTTCTCTAATTTATGGTCCTTTTTTTGTGTGGGAATTTCAGGTTATGTACTTGGCTTGTAAAGACGGCATTTCTAAAAGCCAGCGTGGCAGCCTTTTTGAGGTAAAGAAATCAACTCAATTTTTTTTTGTTTTAATAATGTAATTTGTAGTCTTGTACAAACACATTTAAGAAGATAAAAAAAAGTCTCAAACCTTTTTTTTTTCTTTTGGTTTAAGGTTGTTGAGTCCTACGTTGCTGATCAAAGAGTTGGCTACGCGGAGCCAACTTCAGGAGTGGAGCTTTACCTTTGCCCAACGCGTGGAGAGACATTAGATTTGTTGACCAAAGTCATCTCTAAAGAGCAGCTTGATGAGGTCAAGTCTTTGGATATTGGTTTGATTGGAGTTGTTGTATGGAGACGAGCCGTTGATCCCAAGCCCGCTTCAAAACGTAATAATTCTTCTTCTACTTCTGGCTCTAGAACCTCTGTTTTACCTGTAAACAAGAAGCAGAGAGTGAATGTCACAGAGAAACCTCGTGTGGTTGCATCAATAGCAAATCGTCCTTATGGATATGGAGTCAAATCTGTTGTGCAAGAAGATGATGATGATGTACCACCTGGATTTGGTCCTGTAGCTTCGAAAGATGACGATGATTTACCGGAATTTAACTTCAATTCTTCTTCTCGGCCGTTACCGGCTCAATCCACCAAGTCTGTGGATCAAGTAAGAAAGCTCATACACATGTATGGTAAATCTGCAAGCACCTATGATGATGGTGATGACGACATACCTGAATGGCAGCCAAATGTCTCGAG